GGAAGAGTTAATTTGTTCAAAAGGGAAAATGGGAAATCCAGTCTGTGAAACTGCTGTAGTAACCCTTTCACATCAAAATCAAGTTTTTTTTTCTCCTTTAGTTAAGTCATTTAGATGTTTTAGTCAAAATGCGATCTAAAGCTCTGAATAAACGCTAAATGGGAAACTAACACTATAACCGTCTTTATGTGGAGCATATCCTTTTATAATACAAAGTTAAAGAATACCAATAAGCCCTCTTCTTGAAGTTTGTCTCTCTACCCTCTGGATCTGCCTCAGAACAGAAGCATATTGCAAAACTGTGAATAAACAGGCACACAGAGGGCAGATGGACATTTCCATCTGCCTTGTTGCTCCCTGTATGACACTTTTCATACTTTATTCTCCAGTTTTCACATAGCTTTTGATGCAGGATGCTGCATCTGCTTAATGGTCTCAGTGTACACAGGCAATAAACCTATATGATATGCCTATAAGTTTACAAAAACAAATATTTTTTCAGTCCAGTTAATTCCATTCATAACTGGAAAAGGCAGTGTTAAAAATGCTTAATGTGATCAAAATCTCAGCTAAAGATCTGATAACAGTTAAAGAAACAAAAACACTGATAGGGATCTTTTCTGGATGATATATTCTTCATCACTGTATGAACCGGATTTTAATCTTTGTACCCTGACTGTATGAGTAATGTGCTGCGCTGTTGACACAAACGCTCCAAACAATATTTAAAATGTAAGAATTTTAAAGGAGCACGTGTAACCTGAGGGAGCAGCAGGTGATTTACTTTTTTACTGTGCCACCGGCTGCCTCTGAGAAAAACAACATTCACACAGTATGCTCTGCTGGCAGACTGTGACAGCCTGCGGGCTATTTGGAGGAGAGAGGGAGGAAAAATGTGCTTTTATTTTTCTGGGGTTTTTTTAGCATGTCAAAATAAATAATGGTAAAACTTAACATTTTAAAACATACATTTATTACAGTGATGCAAGAATTGCTCCAGGTTTTGTAGAAAGGTATTTTTAAGTTCTTAAAAAGACAAAACCTTGGTATATCATATCAAATCAAGCCCAATAAACTTTTATTTTCAGAGCATGCTAACCCAAGTGGTGTGATAGCTTTTGAAAAGTTGTGTTTAAAGCACTTACAAAAACATGTACTTTCACTATGTTTCAGACTTTGGTTTTACTGTAAAGCACTTAGAAAAGATGAGCGGGTTGGCAAGTTATCTCTACAATAGATAGTGATCAAATAGATAAGCTGGTGTTTTGTGTGAGAAACTGACTGCACTGTTGTTCCCTCCACTATCCCATCATGGTACCATATTTTTCAGTCACTGTAATTTGTTAGATATGGATTTTTCTCTGTAGTCTTCATGAAATTTTGAGAACTGCTCCCCTGCATGGGCCCTTGAGAAATCATTGATCCACTTTTGATAGGCCAAAAGAACTACTAACACCATGCTGATGACATGATTACCCTTAAGGTATTATTACTTAAATCATCTGGCCTGAAAATCTGCATGTAAGCTAAGTAAGTTTTAATGGGCTAATAATATTTTCATATGTATATTATTGCATTTTAATCTGCACCTGTCTTTTAATTCAGTGGGATGTCCGCATACTGCAGATCTAAGAAAGAACAGCAGCTCAAGCCACAGCATATTCCAAGCTTCAAACAATGTAGTTGACAGAAATAAACGGATGGCAGTTTTTGAATTTTCTGGCCAGCAAAACATCAAAAACATGATTGGTTGATTGGCACTTCATGTTGACTCCCTGTGCAGCTTTGATGGAGAATCCTGTGCTAAGTGGACGAAACCTGATTAAATGTTTTCCTGGAATCATGCATTTCTTTTTTTTTTGTCAAATTTTTGTGCAATGTTTCTGGCAAGTTCCCATTTATGGTCCCTCCAGACCTTTTCTATTTCAATCAGTGCTGTCATTTAACCTTTACTGCCGGAATTAATTAATTCTTATATTTTATGTGTTAACTTATTTCGATAAAAACAACGACAATATATATGAATGTAGATATTATGTATGCATAATTAGGGAGACTACTTTTACTATTTTATGGTGTCAATTATTATCATCCATGATCCTTGGTACATGATGAAAATCCATCCACAGCCAATGATTGGGAAATATTCCATTTTGGCTGCCTTAAGGCAGTCAGTAATTTTCAACAACAGAGTATCCTGTTCTTTTATCTAATTATGTTCCAAGTGATTCAGGTGAGCTAACACCCAAGATGGAAAGAAACTAAATAACAACCCGGACCCTTGCACTTGACCCTGACCTCCCTGAGCAGACAGAATTCTTCCAGTCAAGAGAATGACATACTGTGGGTGATAAAACCTCAAAGCAGTAGTGGTTGTTGTTTTGGAAGAAAAGAGCAGCCACCTGACCTGCAAAGGAAGGTATTTTCTTGTCAAGTTTTATTGTGGTAATTTGGAATAAGAAGCTGAGGTGTCAAGATGGTTTAAAAACTAAAATAAATTTTTTGTTTTCCTTCAAAACTAATGTTCAGCTATACTGTAGAAAAAAAAATATTGGCTTAGAAATCCCTCCTTAAAGAGGGAAAACATTTTGATAAAAGGTGAACCTTTTCAACTTAGGGGCTATTTAGAATAATTTCTATTTTGGTTTAGAAGTTTTATTTCCCTGTAAAAGTTATGTTTATTTGGATTTAGTGTCTTGAATTAATAAACCATTCAGAAATTGACATAAGAGCAGTTACTAATAATCACAGTCCTTCTTTATGTGGCATTAGTCTTAATTAATTAATCTTAATCTTATCACCGTTTTTAATTGTGTGGTCATATAATCCAGTAATTCCCAACCGGGGGTACGTGTACCCCTAGTGCTTCCGCGAATGCATTGCAAGGGGTACATTAAAATATTTTATTTCTTAGTGTAGGTAGTGAAATTAAATAGGGCTGGGATCTGTTCTGCTTAATGAGGTCCCAATTGAAAAAAGTAAATAACCTTTTATCAACCAAAAAATATGTTTTTCTTACCGGTTTATGTTTAAGTTTACCTCCAGCTTTGACACACATCAGAACCAAGTAGTAGAACAGACTGGATGTAGATCAGTCTGGTTTCAGCTGCTTTTCATACTGAGCTATTGGAGCTCACCAAAGCGAGCTCAGGTATCTTGATGAAAAGAAAGTAAAATTAAGTTAGTCTGACTTTATTTTTTGTTCCCAACTCATCAAGTTTAAATGTGATTATAAGGGAGTTTCTTAGAGGAGCTAACAACTAATTATTACTAATTAATTACCAGCTTCCAGGCAACATATTAATGTAGTTTTTTTTTTATTTGAGATGGAAAGAATAAAATGCCTGATAATTAAATGCTCTAATAAAAAAATTTTGTAAAATAGTTTTTATTTCATAATCAGTTTTTGTACATTCCATTTTTGGACAATCATGATTACTTTTGACTGAGAGGGGAACTCATGGTAAGACAAAATACTAAAAAGGGTACAAAAGTGAAAAAAGGTTGGGAAACACTGATATAATCCAAAGAGAAATCCTTGAAGTGAAGTATTTGACACCCAGAATCATCAACCCATCCTACCCACTCAATCCTACTCAACCCTCAACTATTAAAACATTTTCTACAACTGATGTCATTGGTCATGTGACAGTAAGGAATATTAGAGGGTAATAACAAGCAGGATTTACCGTAGCTGTATTTTCCAGTAGCAGCGGTTTGTTCAGAATGACCTTGATAGCAAGTTTTCATGATTTGGCTAAACACCTTGATTACTGAATTAGGAAAATCTGTTATAACGAATATGAAATGAAAGGCAAAGATAAATAATTAGTATCCAAACCATCTTTTCTAATGTCCGCAAGCGGCTCTTCTAGATGTTGTTTTTGCCCGTATTTCTTATGAATCAGGCACCCTCCCAATGCACCAGAAATGTGTTCATGTGAGTTTCCGGCTGGCAGAGATGGTGTGGGTGGGCGGCAGCGTCTGACTACAAATGAGAGTGAACACAATGCACGGTCTAATTCGTCACGGGCGTAATGAGCGCATCCCTGCTACTCTCCCTTAACAGCATTCAGAGGCCTGAATGCTTGCATAACCACACAAATGTTAATGTGCATTTCTCCAGCAAACCAAAACTTTAAGAAGCAGGACACAAACAAAGCATGCCATTCCACATGAGATAAATTACTTTAGAGATTACACACAAAAACAGCATGAAACTGAATTATAGCATTTGATTTACAAGCAATAACCTAAAGTACATTCATCCTAAAAAAAACAATGCTCAGATCCATCGTCTCTATCAAAAGCCCACTGAGAGGAGCACAGAACATGTGGTAATCAGGTATTTGTTTTAAAAGAAGGTTGTACTAGCGCAATAATTGATGATCAGTGCCTTGACCCACAATAAACATCCACTTAGTTCAAGTAAAAACTACTTAACCTCCGAATAATGTATTCAAATATAGCATCCCAATCTCTAAAAATCACTCCTTCGTTATATGTCCCTTTTCTGAATACTAAACACCTTTTTCTTTTATCATTTATATATAAAACACTGTTTTCTGTTTTAAACCAAATATTTATCATAAAAATAATAAACGCTTAAAAAGAAATTTACGCTAGGATCATTTTGATTTTATATTTCTTTTCCTTCTTTATGTTTTAGCTGCTATTGTGAAAGCAAAGATAAGTAGAAAATCAGAATGCAGACATGTTTACAATGATGCAACATACACAAAAGTGGGAAAAGACTAAAACTCCTGCGATAACAGGAGAACACTCAGCAATTTTAATTAGGTGTATCTGACATCGCCTGACTGGTATGTTAATCCCATGAAAACAGCAAGGGTAGAATGAGTGTGCCTCTGTCAGTGTGTTTGCTTTTAACCTAATTTGAGTCTGATTCTTTTTTTTTTACACAGAGCTGAAAAGATTTGTGCAAACATGTTTTATGCTCTTTCAAAAGAACAAAAAAACAAATCCAGCGAACAACTTACCCTGTGATGCGCGGCAGCGTGTCAGTAGAGAAGAAGGCAACAGGTGGCTTGTCTCTCTCTATGACCCAGACGGTGTACTGTCCACTTTGTCTGGGGTGGAAAAACACAGCCATGTCCAGGCTGCATGGCCCTTCACCTCCCCACAGCCAGGGGCTCAACACCCAGGGGCCTCCATAGGCTGAACTATTAACCCAGAGAAACTGACCTGGAAGAAATTGAAAAACAAAGTGGTTCAGGATGAAAACTTTTTCAGAGAACAAAGTCTTACTGAGAAAATGGAATAAAGCGTCAAGAAGCATTTATCTTCTTCCTGATAAAGCTGCTCTGAATTTACATGGAGTATAGTATGAAATAGGTGAGGAACTCACTTACAGTGGTACTTGAATAAAACTGTATCAAATAAAATCCTTTTGAAAATGAACAGCCAACATATCCAATGCTCTGACAAGAAGAAATAAAAAAAAAAAAAACGGATATATTTCAGGTTAAAAGAAGAAAAAAAATTACAAACCAAATATAATTAGAATCACTCCGGGTAATGGAAATATGAAAAAGAAAAGCAAATTATTTAAGGAAAGCTTTCACGGCAGAAAGTTGATGAAATGTTAAAGCTATATTCAGCTCATTGATGACATAATAAACGGCAACACTAAAACATCTTAGTTGCTGTTATGGTTAAGGAAATGTGCTGTTGCATTATGGGTAAATTTGGTGCCAGTTTGGCATAACTTTCCCCTCCAGCACTGTGATTAATCCAGTCTTCTTTATATAGGACAGTCTTATCCTTACCAGACTGACCCAAACTCTGTATAGTCAGTCTGGTTGAAAATAATGCCGAGCAGATAAATGCTCTGCAGTTTTTCTGATGATAGGAATTCTAAAACACACAAAACAGAAAACGAAAACCTATGTTACATGAATCACTTTCTTTTTACCATGATGCTGTAGTTCATCCCTGTAAGTGTATGAAGGTCATGAGAGGCAATAAAAAACAGATTTATTCTCTTCAGCAGGGGGTTGATGTATTTCTTCAGTTTTTATGTCGTCTCCATTTCTTCACCAGGTGACTGTATTTTATACTCTGGATAATGGAAATGTGAGCTTTAATAGTATTAAATTATTAGAAACAGTATAGAAACAAACTTTGGCCTTTTGTGGGATAAGGTTTGCCTTTTGGTACTTGATTGAAAAAATAACATTTCTGTAAATTAGTATTCAAGGGGTATACTTCTCTTTGGTATGGCTCACCTTAAAAGAACAAAAAAATGTGTTTTTATGGAGAGGCTGCTCATTAAGACTATCTTCCTTGAAACAGAAACTCCTCTGCATTAAAAGAAACATAAATAAGCTCTAAAATATCTGGTTGTTTTTTTTAAAAATCTGTTACAGTCTACCTCTCTTTTTGATGACAATTGGGTTAAGATAGCAGTGACTGACTGTTGGGTCTTGTGGGATACCTCAAGGCTTTGCTTGGCACCACATTTTTTCTCACGTTTTACTTCCTTTAGGATGCAGGAGTTATAGTGCCAAGACATGAAACTACCAAACTAAAGAAAAAAAAAAAAATCTGACTTTATTACAAGGTAAACATTTTAAAATTCAACTATGTTGTATGTAAACTGACAAACATCTTTATCAGTCTGGCATTAAATTGAGGCGTTATGTAATAATTCAGAAAATTTCTCTGCAGCAAGATCTAATTGGAACACTGATTGTTTTATTTTCACATTGGGTGACAGTTTTTTCAGTGTTATCAAAAAATAGATCATGTTGCTCTTTTCCTTTTTACATTATTTACTTTAAGTGGGAACGATTATATGTTGGTTTGTTACTTTTATGCTGAGGGCCTTCATTTGTAGGCTACTGTTATGGGTACCTCTGAGACTCATACACTGTTCAGCTTAAGAACAAAACAAGTCAAAGTAAAATTGTAGGTTTCATCAGTTCAATGCTAATTATTTTTTTGTCTCTTAACCATTAAGCTTTCTCCTTCTTTTTAACATAAGTATAGCACTAGTGCACCAGCCAAAGATATTCACCCAAATATGCTTTTTAAAAATAATGAATATATTGAATTAAAGGCATTAAAAATAGTTATGTTTTTTGTGTTGTTGTTTGTTTTTATCACTTAAATTACTGTAATGGCTTTTTGCCAGCTCTGACAAATCAAATTTAGACTTTACTCATAATATGTAAATTTTGGCTGGAAGAACTTGCAGTTTTAAAAATAGAAAACTAAAATCACTAATTCGTAGAGCTAGCTATGGTGAATATTACAGTTCTTGCTCTACAATTCAGGAGATAAATCCTTCCAGCTTGTAGTATCAGGAATTTTGAATTAACTTCCGCTTGTTGGATCACAACATTTATAGTCCAATAATTATATACTTATCATATATATTATAAGTTTATTAAATTTGCTTCCTGAAAACTGTTAATTTTTTACTGAGATTTCAATTTATAGCTAAATTCTATGTACTTTCTACCATCCTTGTATATCTTCAATGACTTTTCTCAGTAATTGCTGCTGCTCATAAAGTGTCTGAACGCTGTACAAAATGAAATGTGTTGTGTATACACTTTGTGTATACAAAATGAAAATAAAAGTTGCCAAAGTAAGTCTAAGTCTAATTGTTTACCAGTATAAATGATAAGCTGTTGATTCTGTTATTGCAGCACAGTGTGTTTTCATTTCATCATCCAAAGTTTAACTGAAACTCTCTGTTGTATTTCGGGGGAATTACTTAGTTTAGATGTCCATCAACAAAATGGAAAAAGAGGAGGGTGAAGTTACAGAAAAGTATTTACTTACTTTGATCTATTCTCACTTCAGTTAGATCAAGGATAAAAAAGAAATACCTGTAAAACAACTAATGGAGTTTAATAGATTTAGGACATTCAGATACTTGGCTAAAGTAAAAGATTACGGTAATGAAAAAACATTTCTGAGGAACATGCAATTAACTGGAATTGATTATAACCCTCCATACATAGCATTACATATAAGAAGGCTGAAAGTAAATATATAAAAGATGCTGACCTTGACTAGAATCTTAACTTGTGGTATTTTGCTTTAGATCAACTTTTTTTCCCCCTTTTGGCTCTGTCTGATCTAATCAGTTTTCTTTTTTCAGTTCACCGGAGCCCAGTAAATAATAATAATCATCTTAAAAACAAGATTTTCTCAAGAGTGCAACTTATCCAAGGACTAGATGAACATGCAAGATGCTGCATTTTTAAGAAATGATGAAAAACAAAAATGCCCATGCGAAGGACTACAACCTGTCCAGGGTGTACCCCGTCTCTCGCCCGTAGACAGCTGGAGATAGGCACCAGCACCCCTCGCAACCCCGCTTGGGATAAGCATGACAGAAAATGGATGGATGGAAAAAAATAATAATTCTTTGATGAAACACAGTTAAACATGGACTTAATACAATGGGTAAAGCTGGGTTTTAAGAAAAACAACTTGAGACACAAAATGCTGACATATTTAGCAGCTCCTTACAGTACTTTAAAAGTTCGGCCTGTCACTTTTGATGAAAACCCAGATTTTGACAGCCGGTAATTCTGAACGACCCTCCTCCAATGATCATAAAGCTAAAGTGAGACCTTCCACACAGAGCATTAATCTGGGGGGTTTTGCTGCAGGAGTAACTTAATGTTTAGCTTCCCTAGACACAGAATTTTCTGCTTTAATCAACAAAACTTGCCCTGTGTGTGGTCGATCAAGTTTTGACCACAAACTACATTTTTTTCTCCCCTGACATCTAAAGTAATAACTGATCACTTAGAAAGGTGCTTAACCATGAGGCGTGCGTCGGTGACACAGTGGTTAACGCGCATGACCCATGTCCAGATTCCTTAGTCCTCAATGTGGCCAATCCTGATTTGAGAAAAAAAAAAAACAACAAAACAAGCCAATAGTGCCTTAAAAAAAAAGAAGAAAGAAACAGCTGAACTACAAACAGACAAACAGGCACAATCATTCAATATTAGGCCTGATGAGCACTTGTACTGAAACACTGTGCCAACAATAACATCCTTTAGTATGGACACTGCTACTAGGTGAAGATGAATTAAATGATATTATTTCAACTCGACTCCTAATAATAATAATTAATTTAAGAGTAATTTTTTTTTATATTTTTTTTTATTTTCTTAATTGAAGTTCTGACCACAGCTCAAAATCTGATATTGTACTTTTTGTTTATCACAGCTTTACAAAGATGTTTGGAAAGGCCACACATGTCTGATTAGTGCAACTCTACTGTTAACATCTTTTTCTGTTAAGTTTTGTCTTCAGTGGTTCTAATTAGTCAATATTACCCTGTTGGATATTTGAAAACATCCTGCTGTTAAGTCCTACTGTTTACAAACTGCGAACCCCTTTGTTAAAATTTCTTTAAATGTCTAATCTTTCTTACATGTTAATCAGTGGTAAGATCATAATTTGACAAGCAGTTTGAAGGGAAAGTCAGAGAATGTCATTATAAAAACAGAAGCCCCAGAAGTCAACAGTGAAGTTCTTCCCTTTTTTCTGAAAGTGTTGTTTCCACTTTCATCCTTGTCTGATAACAAGCATGTTTCTTTATCCTGAGAGGTTCTGAATAACTTCATAAATTCAGGAGGGCTTAAATTGGAGCGCTCCAGTTAAGCCTAATTTGCATGCTTCTAACAGAGAATCAAGACTGCCTGGTTAAGGCTGTAGAGTATTAGGGCTGAATGCATCTTTTCCACAGCCAGTAGCAATTTGATATGAAGGTTTTTAAGACTCAGCCATGGGGGGAACTTCGGCCTGAGGGCAAAGACCCATTAACTCTTGTGTTCCAGTTTTAACAAAGAGAGGAAACACTTGGTTGGGAGCAATTACCTGAGGGTACAATTTTTAATGGCGAACTGCTGAGCGAATTATGTGATTCCATTAGTAGATTTTTGCTCAGGGTTTACCTTTGGTCACTGCTGCATATGCAGGCTCACTGCGTTTGTTTGCATGATCACATATAGGGCCTGCTATCTCTCCAATCTATCTCTGCTGATTAGTATGTCAATCAGCAATCAAGAGTCTTTATTTTCATTATGGCTCTAGCTCTAGCTCAGAATGTACATTTATTGGACATGGACATAATTTAAACACTCTCTAGAGGAATAAAAACTCTTAAAGGTGTTTGGAAATTCTTTATGAAATCAGACATAAAAAATGAA